ACTGTTTAATGAGAAACTATTTGTTCTGTAAACCTTCACCTAAAGTACAATAAAAAAATAAAATAAAATAAATAAAAAATAAAAATACCACTTTAGTTACTACTAAGTACATAAACCAAACCCAATGCCGTTGAGTCGATTCCAACTCATAGCAACCCTATAGGACAGAGTAGAACTGCCCCATAGGGTTTCCAAGGAGCGCCTGGAGATTCAAACTACCAACCTTTTGGTTAGCAGCTTAGCTCTTAACCACTATGCCACAAAGGTTTCCACTAGGTATAAAGAGATATGAAAATCTTCTCTGGATTTGAGTATGAAACAAGCGTCCACTTCTACAGAAGGCACATGGCTGGGTCATACGGAGACCTGAATTCTAGCCCTAGCTCTGATGCTCTTACTCTTAAGCCAGGTCACCTTAAGCAGGCAAGTCATAACTTTTCTGAGCTTCATTTTCTTCCCTTTACAACTTAAAAATTGACTCATATTTACTTCTCCACAGTTTTCTAAGGATCACCCATTTGTTGCAAAATATAAAGCACCTTATACCAATAAAGAATCTTTAATACAACAAAGTTCTAACAAATCAAATGTTGGGGATACTGTACTACATAATTATATCATTAAAGAGATAGACTCTTGATTTTCTTAAGTTCATTATTCAAATAGCAATAGTTTGGAAACACATTTATTTTACATTCCAGTGGTTTAATATACATATATGCTATGCATTCTTTTGTTATTATATATAGAGATCTTAAAAATTCTATTAAGATAGACTTGCATTACTAACTCTTTGAAAATATCTAGAAATGGTTTATAATTATACTTACCTGGCTTCTCTCCTGACAGAATCAAGAAAAACAGTAAATATGCACTTTGTCAGAGAACTGGAGGATTTACTTATTACAAACATTTTTAATAATAGATAAGTAAAATTTTTCTAAACTTATCAGTGCTATAAAATCTGACAATTTTATTGAAGGTTATTAACTAAAACCGTAAATTAGGACATAAACCATAAGTTGACTGAACAAATCTCAAAATGACCTAAGAATAACTTGACATAAAAAGAGAACTAATTTTATGAACAAACACTTAATCTCCTACAACCCAGTAAATAAATTTTCAGCTTATATCGCACAAATAAAATTCACGGGTGACATTTTTAATTCATAGAGAACTATATATTTACCTTGTTTGAAAGTGAATGTATTATGTGAAGATACATCACGGCTACCAAGATTAGGATGTTCTGGTTTTACAAAATACTTGTCCACTGCTCTGGAAGGGGGTATACTAACAGGCTGAAAACTACTAGACTTGAGTGCAGCACTAATAAAATGAGTCTGGAAGACATGAATCCTTTTATTAATTTCAGGTAATATCATTTTTTTTTTTTTTAAATATTTTATTGTACTTCAGGTGAAGGCTTACAGAACAGATAGTTTCTCATGTAACAGTAACACACATGCTGTTTTATGACATTGGTTAACAACCCCACAACATTTTAACCCTCTAAATTCTCAACTTTTTTTTTTTCTTTTGTGAAAATACACATAGCCAAAGATACGCCATTTCAAAAATTTTTTTTTTTTTACATACACATTTAAGTGACATTGACTACACTCTTCTAATTGTGCTGTTATTCTCACTTAAGATGAAGGCTTACAGGACAAAATAGTCTCCCATTTAGCAGTTACTACAAATGTTGCCCTATGACAATGGTTAACAATCTCACAACACATCAACAATATCCTTACTCTACTTTGTGTTCCCTATCATCAGCTTCCTACTCCCCTTCTGCCTTCTGGGCCTTGTCACTGGACTCCTGTACCTCGTTACTCTCATGGTTTTACTGGGCTGTCCACTCTCAGGCTGATCAGTGAACCTTGAAGGTAACTTTACCACTGAGCTAAAAGGGTGTCTGGGGTCAGGTAATATCATTTTAAAAGAATTATATGACAAAATACATTGAAATTTATTAGAGGACTTGAAAACAATTTATTACAGTTAATAAATAATGAGAACACGTATCTTACATTGCAACTATTCATAGTAGCAGAGATGTTACTAGGCAGATGTAGTATCACAAAGACCTGAGTTAAGCCTGGCTCTGCTATGTGACCTCGAAAATTTTATATAACTGCTCTAAAACTTAGTTTCTTCCCTTCTACCTCAGAGATGGCTCAGGGGCCATCACAGCAGGCTAGGAGAGAACCAAGAGGGAGGAACCCTCACCCTAAAACTCACTTCAAACGGAGTACATAAAACCAAGACATCTCATCTTTCACACGCTACATGGTAAGATTGTTGTCTGAAGCTAAGGTTTAAAAACTACTGATAGTAAGCATTCAAATCAATAGCAGCCATATTTTGCAGCAGCAGTAATAATACAGTACATGCATTTATGTATAAATAAGAACTATAGTGACAACACTATTTTCAACACTACTTATTAAAATATCTAGAATATATAAGTATCTTAACTAATAAAACTTATTTCAAAAGTGTAGCGATCCCTCCACATAAAACAGATGGGATAGATTCAACTAATTTCATCTCATTAAGCATTTATTGAACTACTAGTACACCTAGTGTATCACCAAGATTTCAACTTTCTCTGTAATTATAAGCTTTATAAATAAGATGTCTGAATTTGCAAAGATTCCATTCTTCTAAAATCAGGAAGTCAATAAATTATGGATCTATTTATAGAGAAATGGAGGGATGGCAGATAGTTACTTAGGACTTAAGTAGGATCCCCTCCTTAGGAAATCAATGTGCTTTTCAAATGTGTGATCTCATTTTATCCTGTACAGCAATGAAAATACACTTTTTAGGTAAAAGAAATCAAGGCTCTGAGAGAAGTAAAGTTATTTGTAGACAGGGAACCAGCACTCTGATGGACCCACTCCCAGCTTCTCACTATATATCGTGCTGTACACTCAGTTTCAGTCATGTATGGTTCTGCTTACTAAAACTTTACTCCGTGTGCCTATAATCATTCCAATAAAAATACTATCTTCAACCACAAGAAAAGCTCAAGACAAGCTCTATTAAGAAGTCTTGAAAATTATAGTACACTAGTGTTCATTTTGTACTAATATACAGCTATAATAAACTTATTTTTGTACTCTCTTCTGAATGTTATATTTTAATTTAAAAAGTATAAAAATCATACATTAATCTGAAAAAAAAAGAGTAAATTAAAACCAATGCATTTATAATGCTGGTCATTCACTCATTCAGGAAAAAGTTTACTGAGTGCCTGAGTACTCAGTAGTTGTACCAAGTCTCCAAAATCCCAAAATAAATACTACACTATCAGCAACTTGTGAGGATAACTCTCCTTTTTATAATAGCCCAATGTCTGGTACTCAAAAGGCAGTACATAAATGTTTATTCTTCTAACTTATTAAATGGGGGAGCAAACATGTAAACCAGGTAGTTTTCATCCAAGGGTGTGTACCAGAATCATCAGAGAGCTTTCAACAATTCTTAGGTCCCATCCTAGACCTACTGACTCAGAATCTCTGAGAGGCGCAAGCATGTGTATTTTTATAAAGCTCCCCCAAGTAATTCTGATGCACAATCCCAGATTAGGAACCAATGATATAAACTAAAACTTACAATGTAATACAAAAGCACTTTAAAAATGGTATGAACAAAAATACTACAAAAGAAAAAACCAACTAGAGGGAGAGGTCTCACATAACATTTGGGCTAGAACTTGTAGAGTTCTCCACGTAGAGGGGAAGACTAATGAACAAGCAAATCATTATTCGAGAACTAACACAGTTAAAATCTAATCAGCTTCTGTAATATACAATATTAGTTTAGAGATTTAAGTGATAAAAGATCATACAATGTGTACTAGCTTTATCATAGATACCTGAATATCCATTTGTTGTTGTTGTAATTTTTCAAGATGCTTAATATGCTGCTCCATAAACACATTCATTTGCTTTTCATGATCATGACAATGAAGTTTCTCATGTTTATTCTGAATGTTTGTTTGCTGCTCTGTAACACGTTGTAACTGTTTATCAGTCTCTTGTAACTTATTAAGTAATTCTGTAACAGAATTGACTTTTGCTTCCAGATCACTCTGCACCTAAAATTATAATATCAAAATAGTATTATAGATACCATATATATGTTCAATTACTAGAAAAGTTATTTAAAGCAATTGGTATTGAGAAATGCTCAAGCTAGAGCTTTTATCCCCTGAATATTTGATGATACAATGTCTTTATTTTTAGAGTCACAGAAATAAAAGGGAGGAAATAGCTATCCTTAGGTAGATAATCCCTCAAAAAAAAAAAATTACACCAAATTTGTCACCTAGAATTTTATAATGGCAACAATACAATACTTAAATGGATATTAAAAAGAAGAAAAGAGCAAAACAAAGTAGCTTTTGATACTTCACTAATCTAAAGATGAGTTGGGTCAGCAGCCTTGAGTTCTGCTAGTCTTGCTTGTGCCACCTGTTAGCTCTAAGACACTGTGCCTATTCTGACCTGTTTCTGTTTCCCCATTTGCAAACTAAAGCAGCTAGCACAGATAAACCTCTAAGGTTCCTTCTAGCTCTAAAAACAGGCAGACAATTCGTCCCAGGTTGCACGGGACTGAGGGGTTTCTCAGGATGTGGGATTTTCAGTGCTAGAACTGGAAAGTCCTGGTTAACTATCACTATCACAGCGATGAGGGGGTAATTCTCACAACTCCTGAGAAGTAAATACAATCACAGGTAGGAAAATTCTTTCAAATTGAGAGCAACTAGAATGTCCCTAGTGTACAGCTGGACACAGTCATTTATAGAATCAGTTCTCAATACATGTCTTTACATTTTACAAAGTAGTTACAGATATCTGAGGAAAAAAAGTTACTTTTATCAATGGAGCTGCTGTTGCAATGGCAGCAGCAGTTGCTGCAGCCACAGTTGTAGCTGAATCAATTCCACTGGGTGAAGTTCTAGTCTCCTGAGTAACAGTGTCCTTTTCTGCACCTGCATCTTCTAAAAGCTGTACCTTTACTTCCTTAAAAACAGGCATGCTTTGAGCTCTGTAAATAAAAAAAGAATAAGAAATATATTCAGTAAGCTACATTGAATAATTTCAAGAAATACCTACAGGCCATACTCTGCTGAAGGTGAGTTTTCTTGATTTTTTTAAATTAAAATCACCTGTTTATCCCTATCAGCATCATATCAAACAAAGTTACTTGGTTAACGATATGTATTAAGGCTCACGCCAAAGTGTCTGAAACACTGAAGAAATAAGAAGATAATTCCTTAAGGGCAAGGATACTATTTCAGAAAGTAAGACTTAAACACAAATGAAAAAGACCTGGGCAAAATTATAAAGATACATAATCAAGAAATAAAAATTTAAAACACATGGAAAAAGCTCTAAGAATACATGTACCAAGTTTTACTCCCAAAGGCAGACAACCCAAGAGGAATTGTTAAAACTACTGAAATGAATTTTCTGAATTCTAGTTCATTTAGATTTATTTAATAAATGTCACCCAGTTAATTAAAATGGGTACAAAACACAATATTAAGCAGCCTGGATTAAAAAAGAGTCCAGTAAATAGACACATATTTGCTGTAAGTCATTTAACTACATGCTAAAGAAAAGAGCAGTCAATTTTGCTCTATTTTAGGCCTAAAAGAAAACAATAAAAGGAACCACTGACAAAACTGAAGCATCCCTAGGTAAATCTAAGCAAAATTGGTAGGACTGCACTCCATCTCCACTTGTTGGATCTTCCCCTCTTGATTTCTGAAGAAGGGAAAGAGCTCTTAAACTTACTCCTCTTTGATATTTCCTAATTTCTATTAACAGCATCATTTTTCTCAGTCTCAAAATTCTGAAGTCATCTTTGACTTCTCTATCCTCTGCTTACCTTCTCACACCCAACTGAGTCATCAAGTTTTGTCAATTATTTCATCATAATTGCAAGAATATGTCATGGAATTACAGAAGTAGGCAGAATATTATAGGTCATCTATTCTAATTCCCTAGTTTTACAGATGAAGAAACTGAGGTCCACTGAGGTAAAAGGATTTACTTGATCAAAGTCACAGAACCAGGAAGTAGCAGATTTAGGACTAATTTCCCAGAGATCTCCTACTACACCATAGCTTTCCCTACCAGATTAGCATTTCTCCCTTCTCTAGTAAAAAACAGGAACCCTGGTGGCACAATGGTTAAGAGCTCAGCTGCTAACCAAAAGGTCAGCAGTTTGAATCCACCAGGTGCTCCTTGGAAACCCTATGGGGCAGCTGTAGTCTGTCCTCTAGGGTCACTATGAGTCAAAATCGACTCAACAGCAAGAGGCCAATAGGTTAGTATAAAACATCAACACTTCTTCCCAACTAATTCATTCCTCTAGTTTTTACTTGCTTAAAAACACACTACACATATTTCTCCACAATTCAACAATCTAAAATTGCTCCTCATAAACAACCGAATGATGGTCATGAGACCACAATGAGAAATAATGATCCATCATATGTATGAGGATAAGCCAAAAGGTACTGTTACTAGGGTTCCAATTCATACATGCACAGGTTTATTCCAAACAAAACGTGTTTAAACGTGTCTCTGCCGTTAGTGGATGGCTGCAGACAAGTTCTTGCAGTAATACACTTGTCTTAGTCTTGTTAGGGAACCTTCAGAAAAAAACGATAGTTTCTGTGCCACAGAAAAAAACAATTTTGAGGTCAGGGCTAATATCAAATTTTTAACAAACCTCAAGTGGACATCTTCCCAAATCATTGAAGCTTTGCAACAAGTTTATGGGAATGCTACTCCACATAAAACAAGTTTTTAGATAGCTCAAGCTAAAAATGAAGGTTGAGAGGGCCTCAAAGATGAGCCAAGAGAGGGAAGACTGCCCAGAAGGTTATGGCCATTGCTTTTTCAGATTCCAAAGGTATAATCTTGATAGATTTTCTCAAAGGGCACAGGCCGATCATGGGGGCTTATTACAAAGAAGTTTTAAGAAAATTGAAAACTTCATCGGTGAGGGTGAGAAAAAGGCCAGGAAAGTTGTGCTGAGGAATTTTTTCCCATCACAATAATGTACCTGCTCATTCTTCGAGGGTAGCAAGGGCTGTCCTACAAGAATTTTGTTGGGAAACCTTACCCTATCCACCCTACAGCCCTTGCCCCTTCAGACTTCTTTTTGTTCCCAAAACTCAAAGAACATTTAAAAGCAACATGATTTGAATCGAGGATGCCAAAACTACCATTTTGACGTGGTGTAAATTGAAGACTGGAGAATCCTTTCAGGAAGGGTTACAGAGATGGAAACACCGCCTTCAGAAGTGTATAGGCCTAGAGGGAGGATATGTCGAGAAACAATACCTTCACATTTTGATATTTTTCTTTAATAAATGTTTCTATGATTTTATAGCAATACTTTTTGACTTACCCTTGTATGTATCGTAACTGATTTAACTATTTCCCAGCAGTAGAAATTTAAGTTATTTCTAGCTTTTCCATATCTAAATAATTGTTTGATAAATATCACTGTGTATAAATTATTGACTGAATTTCTATTATTTCCTTACAATAGATTCACAACAGAATTACCAGGTCAATTGATAATGACATGTTTATCATGGTGCTGTTATCAGGTTTTATTTTGTATTTCATTGGTATTTAAAGGTGGGAGGGGGCATTTAGGTAGAGTACCTGGCCGTGGTCTGCTTTCACTCCACCTGGGTATTAAACTTGTCCCTTTCTCAGATTTTGGCCAGGACAGTCTAAATTTACTTTGATATTCATAAGTATTATGTACTAGGAACTACTTAACCACTGCTATAAGCACTACAGTGAAGTGGTTACAAGAGCAGGCTCTAAAGGCAGACTGCCTGTTTGAATTCCAGCCCAATGACTACTTGCTAAATGATCTTGGAGAAATCAATCTCTCTGTGCCTCAGCTTCCTCATCTATAAACTGGAGATTTTATAAAATAGGGTAGTAATGAAATCTATTACACAGGGTCTTAGGAGTATTAAATGAGTTAATGTACATACAGTGCTTAGAACAGTACCTTTTCTATATTAATAGTTAACAGACACTGAGTACTTTAGATGTACCCAGTACCATGTGAGATGCTTTATACATATTATCACACACAGTGAAAAGAAGATTTTTACTATGCCCAGTGTGTAATGAAGCTGATTTTAGAGAACCACATAAGAAAATAATAAATGGTTCACCTATTTTCTGTAAATGAAACTTACTTTTGCTTTAAAACTGCTCTTAGAGCATCTTTCTGTCCCATGGTGTACTGAGAAATAAAGATGTCATTTGCTGCAAAATCAAGACACAAAAACGTACTTCAGATTCCTGAAAATTTATTAAATTTTAATAAGCTACTCAAAGAAAAACATTTTTAAACTAAAAGAATCTTTAGGTATTTAGTAATATGATTCATCAATACAAACAAGGGCAAGGAACAAATTTAGTGACTAATTAATAATGTAGTCATAACCCCGGGGGGGAAAATTGTGTCATTAAAACTTGAGGCCAAACTGGAGACACCTGCTTAAAATCTAAAGAAAAAATTGCTTAGAATAAAATAAAACCAATTGCTTTAAAATATATTTATTAGTAGATAAGTAAAAGTTTTGACAGCACCTTTTTAATCTAGTATCTGACCAAAGGCAACTAAAAACTTGAATTTAGAATTTATAAATAGGTATCTAAGAAGCCCTGGTGGTGCAATGTTTAAGCACTCGGCTGCTAACTGAAAAGTTGGCAGTTCAAACCCACCCAGTGGCTCCATGGGAGAAAGACCTGGTGATCTGCTTCTGTAATGATTACAGCCAAGAAAACACTATAGGGCAGTTCTACTCTGTCACATGGGGTCACTAGGAGTAGGAATTGACTTGCTGGCAAATAACAACAAACAGATATTTAATACAAAACCTATATAGAATATTTGTAACAATAAAATTATCTTTACCATTGCAAACATTTTTCTGGATTTTAGAGATTCTATTGATAGCTTAATTTGAAAAGAAAAACTAATTAAAAATGAAAATATAATATGAAAAAATGATAGGGCTGTTAATAAATGTCTAAAAATCAATTCTATCAATTTATCTGAAGGAAAAACTATTAAACATGAAAAAAAGATCAATTATATCCTTTTACCTTTTTGTCTGTTGCTCTCTTCTGTTTTATACAAAGGCGACACTTGTGCTGCAACATCTTTAGAAAAATCCTTCATCTTGTAAAAGAAAGACAGGCAAGACTAAGATTTGTGATTCACTATCTATCAAGTACCATTTACTAGCTATGTGACTACTATGCTCTAGGACGGCAGGACTATATATTTTATATACTTTATTCCCAGCACTACCACAGGACTTAGGTACCCTGAAGCTACTCAACGATTTGTTAAATGAGTGATAAGCTGTCCGACAAGCAAATGAATGAGTGAACAATCAAGCAAATGGGCACTGAGATTCAGGCTCACATCCTAGATCTGCCACTTTTAGCAAAGCAAGTTATTTAACTTCTCAGTTGTTTTAGTTAATTATGAAAATCTGACTCACTATCAGAAAAATGACAGAAACAAGGCTGTGCAGATGAAGATGGCTAACACATGGCACAATATCACAAATTAATCAGAGTATTCTTTGTTGTTGGGCTCATATGTAGCCTCAGAAGGCTCCTCTATATAGATGGCACCTACCTACCAGCTGACAGCTTTCTGCTCAAATTTGTAACCCTACACTACATCTCTGAGACTCTACTCAGTGCTAAGACATACGACTTTTTAAGTACTAGATTCATTTAATATTACTCTTTATCTGCCTTAGACATACCTTTCCTTTTCTTCTACAAAATCAAAAAAGGTAAAGGAGAAAATCATAAAAGGAGAGTGTGCCAGGTCATCCATTGATAAGAACTTGTAAAAATAGTCAATGAGGCTAGCAGTACAGTAGAATGGATCTGGGAAAGTAATATTAAAAAACTTATAAATCAGTGAAAAAGCACAGCAAATAAATAGGTAACTCACAAAAGAATTCAAATGGTCATATATGTGAAAAAAAATTTCCCTTCAGCAAGGTCATGGAAGCTCCACAGACACATGCAAACTTCCTGAGGGACCGAATTGCTGGGCTTAAGGCTATGGGGACCATGGTGTCAGGGAACATCTAGCTCAACTGGCATAACAGCTTATAAAGAGAAAGTTCTACATTCTACTTTGGTGAGTAGCGTCTGGGATCTTAAAAGCTTGTGAGCGGCCATCTGAGATACTCCACTGGTGTCACCCCATCAGGAGCAAGGGAGGAAGAAGAAAACCAAAGACACAAGGGAAAGATTAGTTCAAAGGACTGATGCACCACAACTGCCACAGCCTCCACGAGACTGAGTCCAGCACAACTAGATGGTGCCCGGCTACCACCACTGACTGCTCTGACAGGGATCACAACAGAGGGTCCCAGACAAGCCTGGAGAAAAACGTAGAACAAAATTCTAACTCACAAAAAAAGACCAGACTTGCTGGCCTGACAGAGACTGGAGAAACCTCAAGAGTATGGCCCCCGGACAACATTTTAGCTCACTAACGAAGTCACTCCTGAGGTTCACCCTTCAGCCAAAGATTAGACAGGCCCATAAAACAAAACGAGACTAAAGGGCACACCAGCCCGGGACAAGGACTAGAAGGCAGGAGGGGACAGGAAAGCTGGTAACAGGGAACCCAGGGTCGAGAAGGGACAGTGTTGACACGTGGTGGAGTTGTTAACCAATGTCACAAAACAATATGCATTCTGTTTAATGAGAAGCTAGTTTGTTCTGTAAACCTTCATCTAAACTACAATATATTAAAAAAAAATTTCCCTTTACTAACAATAAAAGTAATGCAAAATAAAACAGTAAAATGCCTTTTATGCCTATCAAAGTCTCAAAGATTTGTAAGATTTTAATGCTTTGTATTGGTAAAGATGGGGAAAAATAATTACACTCATGACCTTGCCGGACAGAATATATACTGATACAGTCTTTCTGGAGGCAATTTAGAAACATTTCTAAAAATATGCATTTTTTGATCCAATAATTTTATATCTAAAAATTAATCCTAAGGAAATGACCTGGGATATATATCAGGGTATTCATCACGTAACTGTATATATTACCAAAATTGGAAGAAAACTTTAATGTCAAATGACAAGAATATGAACAAATAAACTATGGTACACACATATACAAAAATTCTAGGAACCCACTGAAAGTTTCAAAGAAAAAAAATCAATGACATAGAAAGATACTATTTAATACTAAACGGTTATAGAACAGTAAGATCCCATTTCATTAAAAAAAAAAAGCATAGAAAAAAACTCAAAATGTTAGTAATTATTACTTCTGGTGATGTATTTTTTCTTTTTCTTTTTTTTCTCTTCATATTTTCTATAATGAGTGTTTAATTTTTTTTAAAAAAGTTTTTGTTTTCTTTCTACACACATAGAAGGTGTGTAGAAGGTACTAGCTCCAAATAGGAAAAGGGGCATCTCATCTCTGGTAGTAGCAAGAAAGAGGTATGAATAGAAGCAAATAGAAAGTTTATAAATGTGAGCCTATCAGGCACAAACTCCTTCCATTTTCTCATTAACTGGACAAGTCAATCCACACTGTACTCTTAGTACTCATTTATGAAACAAAAGCATGGTGTAAAGAGATTGCAGTTTGTGTTCATGGTAAAATAATACTGATTGTTCCACACAATTTAGGTTTGCCTTGCAAAATAAAATGTAATATTTTACATTACAAAAATCTACACAAAATAAGCTGTGAGCCCATAATAAATCTAATGGAATTCTGTCTGATGATCTTCATAACAAAGATAACCCATTTATCCTCAATTATGCAGTAATAGTCATACATTTGGGAAACTATTTAGATAATGGAATTCAACTAGCATTAATCATTAATAAGGATTGCTCAAAAAAAAAAAACAAAAACACAAGCCCAAATGCTAGGTATTTACTCAGAGACCATGTACAGCACACATAATTACATATTTTATTGTGACTTTTTGACAAAATTGATAAACAGTATCAAACAATTTAATTCTTAGTTTACCAGCTTCAATTTCCAATATATTATTTTCTGAAACTCTCTTAAATTGTTATCCAGACTTCTTAAATTGGCAATATATAAGTCAACATTATGATTAGCGGTCAAAGCCTAATATGAAGTTCTCATGATAAAAACATTGCAATTATCATCAAATGTTTTCAGCATTATAAAGAAAAAAAGGAAAGATGAGAATTTCATGTTATTATTTCTCAAAGGCCCAAAACAAAAATAAAAAGACCTCACAAATAGTTTGAATCATATATAAACACACTTCAATTTTTATTTTGTATTATTACTATTCCTACCTTTACCTAACAATATGTAAAGTCTCTAGTCAAGAATATCTTTTTCCTAAATAGTGGCAGAGTTTCTCTTCAGTTATTTCTCACAGTCATTATCTTACTAATGGCTATTTTCAATTCTACGCAAGACCTTTTTTTTTTTTTTAACGTCTCCAGCACTATTTAAGTCACAATTCTAGCATATAAAACATTTCTCTTGGTAAATAAAGTCTGAATGAAAGCAAAGCCTGTTGCTAATCATACATAATTTAAGAACACATTATGTGATAATACTGAAAATTTTAACATGAACATAATTAAAAATCCTTTTGCTTACACTTTCTGACATAGTGAGATTTTCTAGTTGAGGCTGGTGATAATTTCTAGCAGAAGTTAAATCTGATGAACCTAAGAAAACAAAGAAATTGATTTTAGTGATTTTTAAATCAGAACTTTACTTTTAAAAACTGTATAAGCATGATTCTTCAAGAACTATAAACTCCATTTTAACAGAAGACCCAAATTAGAAGCTACTTTTGCATGCAAAAAAATTTAAGAAAATAATAAAATGTATCCCAATGAAGGTTTTTACAGTTGATGTTTTGGAAGACAAGGGTCAGTGCTGATAATCAAGTAAGCTAACAAGTATAAAATGTTACACCAGGATACTGTTAGGTTTGCACAAACTATCAGTAAAATTATTTTCCAGAAATAAAATTAGATGAGGTAAAAACCTGATTTAACAAGAGGCCTATGCTAGGATGACCATGCTGTACCCCCACTCCCCCTCAAAAAAAACAAAAACCAAACCAAACCCATTGCCGTCGAGTCAATTCTGGCTCATAGCAACCCTACAGGACAGAGTAGAACTGCCCCATAGGGTTTCCAAGGAGTGGCCGGTGGATCTGAACTGTCAAACTTTTGGTTAGCAGCCGTAGCTCTTAACCACTGCGCTACCAGGGCTCCCTTCCAAAAACAGCAGCACTATAAAAGCATTTTGCTGTTTTTGCACACATGTTCATTAATTTGATCCTTACAATTTTCCGGTACTTTTCACCAAGCTCCAGACAGGTTAAGTGGCTTGGAACGTGGAGCCATCAAATGACAGAAGTTGTTTCTTTTTTTACCATGCCAAACTGGACAGCATCATCCAAACAGAAGGTAGATAATTTGGTAAAAAGCACTACTGGTGAAAACTAGGAACATTATACAAGTGTATCCAACACAGATGTGAACAAGTACAGTACAAAAATCACAGAACGAAAAAGCATAATTGAGAATGTTAAAGTTTCATTCATTCAACCCATTCAAGAAACACTCTGTTGACTGTCTATGCCTGGTCATTTTCCCAGGGAAAAGGGTCAGTTTTCAAACATCTTTTATGTTGCAGAATTTAAGCGTTAGGAAAATTCTAAATTTTGAAACACAAAAAACTAAGTAAAAATAAGACCTTAAATATTTGCCAAAATGAAAATTGGGTGAAAACCTACATGGAATCACATACCATGTAATGTTCCATCCAAGTCAGTCCCCGTTTTAACAGGAAGACGTTTATTTGCAGACAACGCAGGAGGAACACAGGGTAAATCATCTTTCAGCAAAGCCAAATTATCTCCTGGATTTGGAGACACTACCTCACGAAGTCTCCTCAGTGGTATTTGAACCTTTTTTTTCTTTTCCAGGCTAACTTCCGAGCCTTTCATATTGTTGGTAATAAAACTAGTCCCACAGTTCTGAACGGAAGAACTTTCTTCAGGGTCCTAATACTTCAGAACAAAATTTTCACGGCCTTGAGGACTGGGGAAGAAAAGGAGCAGGGGGAGAGAATACGAGAGGGGTAGTATGATAAACAAAACGAATTTTAAAAGTAATTTTGGAATATGCAATCATCAACTTTTAAATAAAACGATGTCTAAATAGAATATCCACAAAACTGGAAGTTTACATTTTAGTATTTAATACAGGATGAAAGACAACTAAAACATCATATTTACCCATTAATCTCAGTCTATTAATGCAACATGCCAATGAATCTGAAAATGGAGAAGGCAAGAGAAGGGCCACCTGAGTAATAATAACCATCCTAAGACACTGCACTCCCCAAACCGAGCTGGCAGCGCAAAACCAAACAGATGTGGAGGCGGGGTTAAGATTTGTGAAGAGGCAGCCAAGCAGGTAAAAGCGAAAAGCTAAAAAAAGAAGAAAAAAAAAAGAGGAAACAAACAAACAAACCCACCCACATACGAGACTTAGCAGCTTTCAGCCAGAGTTTCACATACCCTTTCAGATGCAACCATCGAACAACAAAATTCACCCCTCCGCGTCTCCAAAGAGCCCGGCAAACGCTCAGTCAGCCCTCCAACCAAACAACAGCTTCGGTTGCCCGCGGGTCACCACCCACTTCCCTTTAAGCCCGCCCTTGAGACACAACACGCATGCGTGCCAAGAAAAGAGTCCAAAACATCCAACCAAAAAGCTTGCGTGCTCTGCGGTGTTCTTCCATTCTTTTCCGGGTGGAAACAAACTCCCGACGTAAAAGACTTCAAACAGGTGTGAATGTAGGTTTTTTTGTTTTTAAGGCAAAACATTGCCCCGTAAGATTTAAGCATTGAATAAAACCCGAGAGATTCATTGAAGATTTGCAGAGCTCTCGATCTAACTGATAACACCATTCCTGTTTTTGAGACAGTGTTTTTACAGTGTAGCTAATGGAGACCGTTAGGACCGAGGGATTAAGTAAATTAGTCTACCGAAAGAGTTTCCACAGATTCGGGTTGTTATAGGCGAGGAAGTCACGAATAAGAGCAAAGTTTAAACAAAAAAATCAGACAAATTAATTCTAATGAGATTTTACAATTCTCTGGTGGTATCGTCTCTTTCCTCTAGATTTCCCACTATTGTAACGAATCGGCATCGAAGGGTCTATGTGCTATTTGCCATCGCTCTCCCACGTGTTGTCTCTCATCCAGCGGCAGCGGCGCCTGCCCTGACCCTGGCCCTCCGCCCCTAGACTCTACTGGCAGCGTAGCGCCCCCAGCATCGTACTGGTGTCGAATGCGAGAGCCTATGCTTAAGTATGGTCTCTTTTCTGTGCCCTCTGAATCCCAGGTTCTCGGGTGGGGGGCGGCAGGCTACGCTCCGGAAAAGTGGCGGGGTCTCTCGAGGCCGCCGCATGTATGTGGGGCTGTGGGGAGACTGTGGTACTGGATGGGGTGTCCCCAGGGCTGGTTCGGGACTTGCCAGGGGAGTGTGCCAGTGTTGCGAGGGTGAAACTTGAGGCTCTGGGCCACCCCCAGTCCGAGCTTGGGGAATAGGGATCTTGTTTTGGGATATAGACTGTAAGGGACCCACGCCATGACCTTGGCTCTGACAGGCAGGAAACCCTCTAACTGAAAAAATCCTCTCTAGACAGAATACCGGGGCCAAAACCCCTGCCCTGGTCTGTTAATTTTCGAGGACTTGCTACTCAGACCTTTCCCTTTGTTCTTTACGGGGGGCTTTAAAAGCATTAAAGCAAAAAATGTGGTCTGATTTAAATGCTAAATAACCAGTTTTATTATTTTACATCTCAGATATCTACTTTCATACAAGAAATCCCGAGGTTAAAAGGGACTTTAAAGGCCCAGCTTTGGCGAACCCCTTAATTATTATTTGCACCTTGACGAGTTTCTGTAATTAATGATCATTATTTCTTATTTCAGTTACATTTTCCCCTTCTTGGGTTCGTAGTACCTGTTTGTCACAATTTTTTGTATTAAAAACAAACAAACAAAATCAAAGCCATTGCCATCAAGTCAGTTCTAACTCATAGCGACCCTATAGCACAGAGAACTGCCCCCATAGGGTTTCCAAGGATGGGCTGGTGGATTGGAACTGCCGACCTTCTGGTTAGCAGCTGAGTTCTTAACCACTGTGCCACCAGGGCTCCTCCTGTATAATACAGGTGAATTAAAAGACAGAATTACAATGTCAGAGTTGTGAGAGACCTTGGAGATGATTGAACTCCCTTAATTTCTGTGTGTGAAAGAAAAAGTGAACTTCCTCTCTAGTCTCCAAACTATGAAAACAGGCCCCCACCTGCTAGACAGGCACTCAATAAAATGTCTTTAATAAATAACTTGATTTGGATCTTGTTGTGTGCTGCCCAGTCGATTCGGATTCATAACGACCATTTAATACCACACCTTTAATAGCAGATCTGTGTGTAAAACCCCAGCAGGGTCCCAGATTGATCCTTTATGTTGGAAGGATCTGATCTAGTGCCTCCAGATTGATCCTTTAGGTCCTTGAAGCCAGCCTTTTGATCTGAAGGCAGTATGCAGTAATCTTTCAACTGTCTTTTTTCCCCTCTGGGTAATGATGAGTTAGGGTTGCTAGTAAATCAGACAACTTCCTAAACCTGCTGTAAATAATCTATAGTGAAGAGACATGCGGTAGACACCTGTTCTATTAATCCAACAAGTTAGTTCAGATGAATTGAGACATTAGACTTATGAAATAAAAGACATTGATAGTCCTGGAACAAAAAACATGGCTCACAAGATTTTTTTCTTTCTTGGTATCTTTTTTGTTAACATTTTTTTCATTTGCTTTCTCTTTTTATATATAGATACTTTTTGCTGAACCATTTGCAAGTAAGTTGCACACATCATGACCTTTAACCCTAATTTCTTCAGCATGCATCTCCTTAAGGACATTGTTACCAAGCCACAGTAAGAGTATCACACCTAGGAAGGTTAACATATTCAAATTTCCCAATTTTCCCAAAAATGTATTTATTTTTATCTCAAAAATGTTTCTTTTTGTGATTCAGGATGTAGTCAAGTTCCACATATAAAAGCATGCTTTTGATTTTGATGATTCTTTGGTCTCTTAATGTAGAGCAGTTTTCTATCCCTTTCCTTTATGACTTGACTTTTTTAAAAGACCAGGCCAATTTTACAACTTGTGCCATAGTGTGGATTTTCCTGATTATTTCCTCTGATCAGAGTCAGGTAAAACAATTGTGGCAAAAATACCACATAGGTAATGTTGTGTCCTTATTATACCCAGAAACACATAATGTCAGAACCCACTGTTTGTGATATAGTACTAGGTTTAATCATGTGGATAAGGTGGTAACTACCAGATGTTTCCATTGTAAAGATACAGCTTTTTTTTTTGTAATAAGTGACCTGTGGAGAAGCTTTGAGACCATGGATATATCCTGTTTCCCAATAACCTATCACCCAGTATCTTTTATCATCCATTCATGATCCTTGCCTGAATCACAAAATTACCAATTACCAGTACCAATCCAACAAGGACCAAGAGCAATTATAGTAATATTGAAGAATTAGTTATTGTGACCCAGGTTTGAGCAGAATTAGAGATTTGGCTTCAGACCTGGTACAAATCTTCATATGATTCTAAAAAAAGAAATACAGGGCATCTCCCCATCATATCCTGATTAGTTTGTTATTTTTCTCAGTATTCAGAAATTTCTGTGAATTGTTTGTACCTGTATAATGATGTTCACCTAATAATTTTTTCAGGGCTGTTGCCAACTCTTTTGCTCTTCTCCAGGAATTGGATTTCCTTTTAAGAAGATTAAAATAATTTAGGGAAGACTATTCTCAACAACAACAAAATAAATAAAATTTTTAAAAAATAATAATTTAGGAAAGGAACTAGGTGCCATGGAGAAGAGATAAGAGATAGTTAATAAATGTAAGAAAAATGTTATTGTATTAGCAAAAAAAAAATTACTAACGTTTTGGGGTTGCTGGAAAAAAGATCAAAAGAACCTAAAACATGTATTTGGCTATTTGGAGAATAACAATTTTAGATAGCTGGTATTAATTATAATATTTAAGAAACGGGTCTTATGGTATAGTGCGAAAAATACTGGATTTTGAAGTCCAAACACCTTGGTTAGGCCCCAGCTGTCCCTGTTACTAGTCTGTGTAAATGATCCTTGTGTAAATTTCTTAATCTTTTTGAACCATCCCTCCTAAGATTATTAGGAGAATCATAAGATAAGTGTAATGCATACTTATTTATTACCTGGAAACATAAGGATAGCATGATATTAAGTATTTTTTTTTTAAATAATAATTTTAACCTAAGAATAGATCAAGGAGATTAATTTCACTTATTGAAAAGGAAGAGGCTTAAAAAACGATTCAGCCAACAGAAGTTTAGATTTTATCAAATAGACCATTAGTGTTTAAAGGGGCCTCAGCAGTCATCTTATAAACCCCTTGTTTTACAGGTAAGAACTCAGGCCATCCCTGGAGATATTCAAGAAAAGGTTGGACAACCACTATTCCAGAACAGAAAAGAAACTCATGCATCAGAAAAGGTTTGAGCTTGATGACTGCTAACATCACCCTTTATTCTTACATCCCCAGGTTTTATGATATATTTTTCTTTGTCACAGAAATAACTTAGCATTGGTGTAATCATTCCCAAAATGTAAGCCAGCCCTTCTAGAACTCATCCCTTCCCTCTGTCTCCAGGTTTCAGGGATATGACCAGGAATAACCCGATTGAATATCTGTCTCCACCACAACAAACATTTGCTGTAATATCTGGAAACAAGGACCAAGTAAAAGAACAGCCACATTGCTGATACCCGTTCTCACCATCAGGTGGTTTGTGTGGCTGTTAGCTTTTGTTATTCAGCATAATTTATGATTAAATAACTGCAAACTAGAGTACTGAAGGACTTACAGAAGCTCTCAAACTAGCAAGGGAATTTGTAGATTATTCACTTATCTCCAATATTTTCTAGGAACAGTTGCTTACAATTACCTATACCATAATCATGATACTAGTCAATATAGAGAAGAGCTTTGGAGATTTAGGCAGACTTAAGAAAACTGCTGTTAGCTCTTGGGTTTAATTGTAGGTCTGAGAATATATTTGGAAAAAATAAAATATGTAAGTAGAGAAATACAAGGAAATAAATCATGTTAACATACTGGTCTCTGAGTAATAGATGATTGATTACTTTTATAGTATGTAAACTTTTTTTTTTTAAAGGAAGAAAAATGTAATGTTTTAAAACACAATACCAAGAAAATAATTTTAAATAAGAAGAATTCATACCAACACTAATTGGGGGTGCTTCTCATCTATATCTTGTCAAGACGTCCCAATAACAACCATCATTTGTCACCATAAGTTGTATACTATGGGGGAGATGGTGGTGGTGGGGTCAGCACAGTGTTGCCAGTCTCTGAAACTTATAGAACTTTTAAAGATTTCATACTTTACCTTTCTGAGATCTGGTTGAAAAAGTAAGTATGAATTTTATCTTGAAAAAAATACAAGGATAGGAAAACGAGAACCCGAGTTTGGCATTACAATCAACAATCTTGTAAATTTCTAAGGTATTATAAGTAAGGAAATCAGATGGGGTTTTTTTTTGTTGTCATGAGCACCAGAAAGCCTGATTTGCTGTGTATCCTCCTAAAGCATAGTGAGTGTACTGTGCTAGTTTAAGAATTCAGAAGATTCAGGGTCTAGTAGATGACCTTTTGTACTTTCAACTAGAGGCCTGTTGGTAAACCAAGTTTCTCAGTGCATGTTTTATTATCCTTTTATTTTCTGAAGTTCCTACAAAACAGTGGTTTCATTTAACACCTATTTCTCTGAAAGTTGTCTTACTAGTTCTTAGATCTTTTCAGGCTGTTTTCTGAGTGGGAAGCCTAAACAACTCTAGTTGTAAACTTTTGCTAACAACATTTGCCACACTGCATCTTGTTCTTTGGCAGGAATTAGAAAGCTTTACAACCTCATTTTTTTTTTTAATTCAACTTTTTATTTTGAGATTATTGTAGATCCACATGCAGTTATCCCTTGTGCCCTTTTACCCAGTTCCCCCAATGGTAACATCTTGCAAAACTATAATATAATATAACAGCCAGGATAGTAACAATGATACAGTGAAGATAACAGAACATTTCAATCACAAGGATCTTTCATGATGTCTTTTGATAACCACATCTACTTCTTTTCTGCCCCACCCCTTCCTTAACCCCCAGCAACCATCAGTGTTTTCTGTTTCTATAATTATGTCATTTCAAGAATATTGTACAGATATGAAATCATATAGTATGTAACCGTTTGGGATTGACTTTTTTATCTAGGTAGTTGTGTGTATCAGTAGCTCATTCCTTTTTATTGCTGAGTAGTATTCCATGATATGGATGTACCAGCTTGTTCAACAGTTCACCCATTGTGACAGTTAGGGTTGTGTGTCACCTTGGCTGGGCCATGATTCTCAGAGGTTTGGCAATTATGTAATGATGTAGTTTGCCAGTTATGTAATGATGTAGTCATTTTCCATGATGTGATCAGCCAGTCAGTTGTAAGGGGAGTTCCCTTGGGGATGTGACCTGCATCCAATATATATATGGTCATTCTGGCAAACCTCGCTTGCTTACTCTGGATCCTGCATCTGGCTAGGCCTCATCTGACCTCCAGTTCTTAGAACTTGGGCCAGCAGCCTGCCATATTGACTCCCAGTCTGGAGGTTTGTTGGCCTCTACAGCCTGTGAGCCAGCAGCTTGCCATCTTAATCTTACCTGCCGATCTTGGATTTGTCAGCCTCCGTGGTCCATAAGCAGTGGCCTGCTGTCTGACCTACAGATCTTGAGTTCTTCAGCCCCTGCAGCTGCGTGAGTCTGGATAAGCCCCTAGCCTGATGCCTGACCCACAGACTTGGGAATTGCCAGCCTTTACAGCCACGTGAGCCGTTTCCTTGAGATAGCTAAATCAATCTCTCTCTCTTTCTCTTTCTCTCTCTCTCTGGTTTTGCTTCACTGGTTTTGCTTCTTTAGAGAACCCAGCCTAAGATATTTGGTACTGAGGGTGGTTCTAGAGAAACAAAAGGATGAGTTTCCTAAATTGGTTCTCAAGTCTAACTAGTCTTAAAGGCACTGATGACTGTCTCCAGTAGTAAAGAAGGCGCTGTTAATCCATGATATAAGATGGCAATATTAATAGGCACAATATCACCACCAATAGATCTAGTATTGGTGAGAAGCAAAGCTCTGGGTGATAGCATATTTGATACTTTTCTAAAATTTTGTCAGAGTGAGAAGTATTGGGAAGCTGGTTGGTTGGTCCTACTTCCGCTAGGCAAAATGAAAGAAAGAGTTGAGCTTAGGGCTTTAGAGTCACAGCTCAAGCGCCATGTAAAAGACCTCAAAGTTGCCACTTGTGCCCTGAAAGAAAGCCTTGTTTCTTGTAGTAACAGAACTGATACTACCAAAAACCAAACCCAGGAGCTTTTTGTAAGAGTGGCTGAATTTACAATGCCAACTGAATTCCCAACTTTGAATGGTGTTTGAAGTTAATGTGATGGCACTGATTGGGAAAAAATGGAATCCTGAAACTTGTGATGGGGACATATGGGCAGATAATCAGTAAGCTGTAAACAATGAGCCCCTAAATTCTGTTCAATCACTCCTGCCAACAGAACCAGCCCTCTTACTCCCATCTGAAGAGATTACTCCATCTTTGTCTCCTAAGCCACCCTCTCCAGTAAAACCATTATGCCCTCCATCCTCATCTGATGAGATTAGCCCAGCTGTGTCTGAAGAATCTTTGTCTGAGATATCGCCTGGGGCAGCATCTCATTCATTGTCTAGGGCATCACCTAGGGTAGTTGCCTTACAAGATACTGCTGAATATTGCCAGGACCCACCACCACCACCACAACCCATTTATACTTCTAGACCTATAACTAGACTTAAGTCCCAGTAAGCCCCAAAAGGTGAACTATAAAGTGTGTCCCAGGAGGAGGCACCAAAAACCAAACCAAACCCATTGCCATCGAGTCAATTCCGATGCATGATGACCCTATAGGACAGAGTAGAACTGCCCTATGGAGTTTCCAAGGATTCTGACTGCCGACATTTTGGTTATTAGCAGCTGAGCTCTTAACCACTGCGCCACCTGGGCTCCAGAGGAGGTACGCTACACTCCAAAATAACTGCTTGACTTTTCTAATATGTACAAACAATAATCTGGGGGATACATTTGAGAATGGCTATTAGGGCTGTGGGATAATGATGCAAGGAACGTAAAGTCGGATCAGTCTGAATTTATTGATATGGCCCCACTAAGCACAGATTCTTCATTCAGTGTTCTAACTCAAGAGGTTAGGAAAGGATCTAATAATTTATTTGGATGGTTCACTGAAGCATGGATTACGCACCCTGCACTAAATCAAGTTGAAGTACCAGACTTGCCTTGATACACTGTAGAAGAAGTTATCCAAAGGCTTAGGGAAATTGGCATGTTAGAGTGAATTTTTCAGATTAGACACACAGATCCACACATGGAGTGCCGAGTGGACACAACTTTTACAACAAAGGCATCCAGTTTGTGAAGGGAGTCGCAGCATCCTTGAACACTACTGTGACTGCTATTTTATGTAAGTCAGATTTGACAGTGGAACTGCCCTGACTGAATTAAGACACCTAACTACAGGAGGCTGATTGGACTCCATGGTAGTAGGGGGCAAGTGGCAGCACTCAGTTGACAAACACAAGGTGGGCGTGGTTACCGTAATGGAGTCAAAGCAGTAATCAGAATAGTCTTGACTCGTATGGACTTATGGCGTTGGCTATTTAGTCATGGTGTCCCTAGATGATCTGTACAAGGAGAAAAATTCTATGACAGTGAATGGCAGTCTAACACCAATTGACAGAACAGAGATTCACAGCCCCTCAGTCGGTGCCCAGATGGGAGCCACTTCACACACTCGCAACCCCGTCAGTGAAGGGGAGGCTGGGTCCCTTTGAGGAAGGACCCCACTACAATGCCAGATCTTTCTCCTAGCCTTCCCCAAAGGGTTCTACAGCCTTTTACGAGAGTGATTGTTCATTGGGGAAAAGGAAATAATCAGACTTTTTGGGGATTACTGGATACTGGCTCTGAACTGATACTAATATTCAAGAGACCTAAAACATCACAGTGTCCCACCAGTCAGAGTAGGAGCTTATGCAGGTCAGGTTATTAATGGAGTCTTAACTCAGATTAGTTTCACAGTGATTTCCCCAGTCCTAGAATGAATAATTGGAATAGGCATACTCAGCAACTAGCAGAACCCCCCACATTATTCCCTGACATGTGGAGTAAGGGCTACTATGGTAGGAAAGGCCAAGTAGAAGCCATTAGAACTGCTTCTACCTAGGAAAATAGTAAACGAAAAGCAATACTGCATTCCAGAGTTTACTGCCATCATCAAGGATTTGAAAGATGCAGGAAAGGTGATTCCCACCACATCCCCATTCCACTCGCCTGTTTGGCTTGGGCAAAAAACAGATGGATCTTGGAGAATGACAGTGGATTATCAAAAATTTAACCAGGTGGTGACTCCAATTACAGCTGCTGTTTTAGATGTGCTTTCATTGCTTAAGCAAATTAATACATCTCCTGGTACCTGGTATGCATTTATTGATCTGGCCAATGCCTTTTTCTTGATTCTGGTTTCAAAGGAACACCAGTAGCAGTTTGCCTTCAGCTGGCAAGGCCAGCAATATACCTTCACGGTCCTGCATCAGGAATATAACAACTCTCTAGCCCTATGTCTTAATTTAGTCCGCAGGGACCTTGATTGCCTTTCCTGTCCACA